TTTCTGCTCCCACTCCTGATTTTAACCCCTCCTTTCATTCAGGTCGAGATCAACCTGAAGCGTTACCCCACTCCCTACCCCGAGGATTTGAAGAACATGGTGAAATCTGTGCAGAACCTGGTGAGCAAACCCAGCCTGGGAGTGCGCCCCGAGAATTCCACCCCAGCCACCAACAGTGACCCCACGGGCAAGGACAAGTACGAGCACAAGTGGCCCCTGACCCCCAAGGAGATCTCAGTGGAGGTACTGCAAAGGATTCTTCTCACTCCTCTCCCAAATTCCAGACTGGGTTTTTTTTTTTCAGATTTTGAACCCCCCCCAAAGGATGTTTTGAAGTGCTGGGAATCTTGGATGTGAGAGTTTCTTGTCTCACCCATCAGGTTTTATGCTGGATAAAATTTATATCGGGTTTTCATTCAGGTTTGGATTGAGGTGCTGAGTTTTGTCCAGTTTGAGATTGAGTTGCTGTTTTTTTGTTGCTGTTTCTCCCCAATGCTGTTGAATTTTGGGGTTGAAATCTCCCTAGATGGGAATTTTGCTGTGGATTTATCCCAGCACTGTTAAATTTCAGTGCTGTGAGGTTGGTGACAGGAGGATGGGGCCAGGTTCCATTTCCATCCCATTTAATCTGCTAAAGATCTCTGAGCTCTGTCTGTGCCAGGAGGTGCCCTTGGCATTGCTGTTAGGAATCCAATTAACCCTTAATGAGTTAATGAAGGCAGCAGGAGAGCTCCTCATTCCAGCCCTGGATGATCCCAGTGAGCTGCAGAATTGGGCACAGGGACAAATTCCACCCCAGGATTAACCCCCAAAAGGTGAATTCCTAAATCCTGCAGCCCTGCTGGAGTTTGGTCTCCTCTGCTCCACCAAAACTTTGTGCAGAAATGAAGGAAATCCCTTCGAGGTCTCCAGGAATGTCAGCATTCCTGAAAATCTTGGCAATTTAATGCTGAAAAGAAATAAATGAGGGAAAAGATTTTCCTTCTTTTTCACTCCTCTGTTACCTGATAAATTCCTTGTTCTTGAAGTGCCCCTGGCTGTGGCCAGTCCTGTGTGCAGGAATTGTTCTCCCTCAATTTTCAATTGCTCTGTGCAGGAATTGTTCTCCCTCAATTTTCAATTGCTCTCCCCCAGTTTTCCATGTCCTGGGCACAAATGTTCCACCTTCAGCTGTGGCTGCTCTCTCAGTGCTGTGTTTTAATTGCAATTAAACGTTTTTATTCCTTAAAAAAGTAACCCCCTCAAAAGTTTTCTCTTCGAAGTGGCTTCAGAAGACTTCAGCTCCAGGCACGATTTCAATTAGGACTAAAATATTGCAGTTAAATATTTAATTTCAACTAAAATAATTGAATCACTCGTGTTTTCATCTAAATCTGAAATCTTCAATTCCACCATTATTCCTTTTTTGCTCATTAAATTCTCACTGTGTAAATCTGGTCCTTGAACCAGCTGGTGATTCAAGCCACGAGCCTTGACATTCTGCTCTTGTTGTTGAATATATAGAATTTATTTTGCATTATCTGTCATTTCAACTTGAATATTCTCGACAGCTTTCTGTGGGTTTTAATTTTCCCTGGGTGTTCCCATCTGGAATTTGATCCCCATGGCCTGGCAGAGGTTTCAGGTGTTTGTTGTGGCTGTGGTGGCGACGTGGCCTCCAGAAATCAGCGGTGTGTTAATATTTGTTAAAATGATGCGAAATTTTCCAAGGAAAACACGAAGTGAGCTGAGCCCCAGCAGGGTCAGAGGCAGGGGAGGAATCCCCAGGGAGTGGAAGGAAGGAGATGAGAGCCACACCATCAACTCTGGAACGATGCTGGGGAGACCTCCCTGCGTGTGTGGGGATACAGAAATCCCACAAAACTCTGCAGAAAAAGCTGAAGTGCTGCAGCCAGAGCCCAGGGTGGCTCCTGAAGTGCCACCAAACAATGGCACTGCACTTTCCTCCCTCGTCCTCTGCCACAGCAGGGCTGGGAGCTCCCCACGTGCCAGCAAAGACGAGATTTCATCCCCTGAGCTTTTTCAGATTTTAATTTCCCTGGGACGGAGCCAAGACTGTCACCACAGCTTTTCCAGCAGCTAAAGAAAAGGAAAAGGATGTTCAGGGATGTTCTCCTCCTCCCCAGACACCAGGAGGGGTTTTTAGCTCCCATCAGGGTGGTGCAGATCCATTTCCCCCTTCCTTGGCTTCCTGCACGAGGATAAAACACACGGGGAGTGCAGGCAGAGTGTGAATGGTTCTGTGAACAATATTGGCCTGATTTCACTTGTAACCCATGAAATAAAACTTAATTAAGCTCCGTTTGCCTCGCAGATAATTAGCAGACAAACTCAAGCCCCCAGTTAAAGTGCACTTTGAAATCGCAGGTGTGCTGTGATGTGCTAAAGGCTGGAGGCAGTTCCTGGTCCCAGGTAATTGAATTTCAGGTGCAGTGCTGGCTTTTCATCCTCAGATAAACTGGTTTCTGATCTCTTTTGGCTTTCCCTGCAATTAATGAGCACGTGTGTCTTCAGAAATTGTTTCTAAATAATGAAAGGCAGCATCTGGAATGAGGAGCTGAATGTCAAATCCATCCTTCACCTCCATTCACAACAAGCAAACAATGTCTTGATTAATCATCCATTAAAACAAACCTCTTCATCACTCTAATTCTTTGGGAAAGATGTGAGTTTTGGCCACAGAGGAGTCTGGGATTATTTAGGGAGTTGTGCTGCTTTTCCACGAGAAACAATGAGGAATATCAAGGTCAGCAGGTCAGGTCTTCACAGTTGCTGTTCTTGATGTGTTTCCAGTGAGAATATCCCACATTTCCTCTGCCTCATCCCTTCCCAGAGCCCTGGGCTGCTCCAAGCAGATTCCAGGAGTCTGGTCCTTCCAAAAATCCTGTCCCTCCTGATTATAATTTCATGTTCTTGTGTTCTCAGCCTGAATGTTTGGTGATTTTTCTCTTGCTGGTTGTTTTAATGGTTTGGAGCAGGTATTTTCTCCTCAGCACAGTTCTCTGCCCTCTTCCTGCATCCTTCCCCAGCTAATCACGAGGAATAAATCCCGAGGAATAATCTCCAGGCACCAACTCAACACAATTGCATTTATCTCTTCCCTTTCTCCTTGCAATTTTCTTCCTGTTAGTGACCTTTTTGTTCTTCAGCTTGTAAGAAAACGATCCTCTTAAAGAGAGTGGGATTAAATTGAACATGATTTGGGGCTTTTACAGGGTATTTCAGATATTCAAGGCAGATTTACAAATGCCAGAGTAGTTCTTTCAAAAGTGCATTGGTTTTTGTTGGAATAGCTGGGCTGGGGGATGAAAAGAAAAGGAAAATACTATAAAATAGGGAACTTTGTGCACCTGAAGTTCACCATCTTGTCAAAAATGGAACTGCTGGGTCTCCCTCTCCTCCAGCAAGGGGGGGCACTTTAAGCTGAAAACTCCTGGAAGTTTCATGGCACAATATTGGGATTCCAGGTCCAAGATAAAGAAACCAAAGAATCCCCCAAGAAGCCCCTGCCTGAGCCTGAGAACAGCCCGAAATCACCTCTGGAAGGCGTGGGCAGGGAGGACAAAGCCCAAAGCTCAGAGGTACAGCCACACCTGGGCTGCTCAGGTGGAGAGCTTCACCCTCTGCACTGCCCACAGCAATGGGCTCCCACCAGTTTGTCCCACCAGTTTGTCCCACTGCACTGGGAGAGGGCTGTGGGGGTCACTGGGCACCTGTGGAGCACCAGGGAAATCCTCTGCATGGGGAAGGGGTCACTCCATGTGGGAATCACCATGGAACTGCCTGAACGATCAGCCCTGAGGGCCTTGGTTAAACTGAGGATGCCTCTTCTGGGAAGGTCCTGCCTCCAGCAGAACATCAAATGCGAAGGGTTTGGAAAAGCTCTGGTGTAAAAAGAATTAAATTCTCCAAGGATAAATCACATGGCAAACGATTCTGCAAGTCTCTGTCACTACAAGAAGTAGTTAAGGGCAGTAAACCTCTGAGAGTTTCCTCCTTGTAAGTAAAAACAAGAAAACTTTTAAACCGTTGCAGCAGGTTTTAAACCATCATACATCCTAGCAACGTGGATTTGGTTTAAATGGTTTCAGTGGAAATTGTTTCTCTGATTATCACACCTCTCCCTCTTGCCTTCCCTCCCCAAAGTCCCTGGAGAACCTGTACCCCCTGTGAGGGTACAGAGACCCCCCTGTGCCACCCGCCCCTGCCTCCCCAGGACACTCATCCTCCTCACCTCAGAGCACTCTGCAGGGATCACAAAGGCCCCAAAATTCCCACTGGTGCCTTCATTCCCTCCCAGCCACCCTAAATGTTCTCATTTGAATTTTCTCTTCCTAAGAATGAGTCCCGCTTTCCTCCCCTACTTTGGCTGGGGTTATTTTCAGCACACGTCCTGTTGCAGGGCCTGTGTGAAGGTCAGGTGTGCTGAACTCTCGGGCAGAAGTTTATTAAATCCAAATCATTTTAATTTAGCCACAAACTCCTTAGAGACAAAGCCATTTTAATTAAGTACAGCTCCAGGGACAGCTGAGTGTCTGGAAGGACTCACCAGAAATAACTGAGCGAGGAATCCTCCCTCCTGAAATACCAATTGTTTACACTCGGTTTGTGTTGATTTCTTTCTGCTGGCAGCATTTCTGGCGACCTTGACTTCATCAAAAATGTTTACACGGCTCTGATGTATCTCGCGAGTTCCATCTGGTTTGTCCACATTTCCAGAACGAGCACATCACCCTAATTTCGAGGAGGGTTTGAGCGGGATTAATTAATTAGAGCTTTCTGCTGACAAATTCCTGCGCTGCCCCTCTGGTGGGTTTGGGGTGTGTGAATGATGATGGGGAGAAGGCTGTGCAGAGGTTTGTGCGCTGCAGGTTGAGGTGTTGCTGCTCCCTGTGCTCACTGTGCCTTGTTGTGTCCCTCAGGATGCCTTTGGACACCCTGGCAGTGAGATGAGGATAGGGGAGCTCCGTCCTTCCATGCCCGAGACGCCGCTGTACCCCCCCAAACTCGTCCTGCTGGGTAAAGACAAGAAAGGTACTGATGGCTTCACGGCCTTTGGGGTGAAACCGAGTGGTGGGGGTGCTGCACTCTGCTTGTGAACCGTGGGCATTTGTGCACCTATCGACCCGACCCAGTACCAGCTTTGATTTAAAATGTGGTTTTTTTCTGCTGTCGCCGCCCCCTGAAAGCGTTTGCTGTGTTTTGTTTCAGAGTCGACAGATGAGTCTGAAGCAGATAAGATCCATTGTCTGAATAACAGCGTTTCCTCAGGCACTTACTCAGACTATTCCCCTTCCCAGGCTTCCTCAGGGTCCTCCAACGCGCACGTAAAAATGGGCTCCCTGCAGACCACGGCTAAAGAAGCAGTGAATAACTCTTTGTGGGGGAACAGGTGTGACATCTTTCCTGACGCAGCTTCTGCTTCCCTTTTGTCCCGTCTGGGTCCTCAGAGCCACCCTGTTAGGGCGTTTGGGTTTTTAAAAAAATCCGTGTTTTTCTCCCATGTTGGCTGAGCTGGCCGCTCTCCATATTCCACGATCCCACAGCTGCTGGTCCAGCTCTGTGCCATCCCCATTATTGCTGTCCCAGCTCCTTCCGCCCTGGACATCCAAAAAGGTTCTTGGAAAGCCATAACCTGCCCTGGGAATATTCCAGGACCAGCCTGTCCTGTCTGTGCCTGCCCTAAACCCCTTCCTCACATCGTTCCATCCTCAGCTCTGCCTTCTTAAAGAGCCGGATGAGAACGGGCAAAAACTGCCTCTGGTGTCTCTGGTTAAAAAGCCGGGGTGGGGAAACCTTCTGCTGCGCTCATCCATTATTTTTACAGCAGGAAAATCTGTTCAGCAGGATTTCTGGGGACACAGCACGGAGCCAGCCAGGTCTTTGAGTGACTTCTTAGCTTCTCCGTGTGTGTCCTGCCGGAGCCTGCGCTCCGGGGCAGAAACCTGCTGCCACCATTCCCGTGCCCGTGGCTGCCAACAGCCTGAGAGTAGCTCAGTGGGTGCTAGAAACGCCGAGGGGGGGCAGGTTTGATTGCTGGACTCGGTGATCCCAGCGGGAATGCCCAGACCCCCTGCAGTCTCCCAGCGCCACCCCGAAGCCAGAGCGCAGACGGGAGAAGGCTGAACCGCGTCCCGACGAGGACGATGAGCGCAGAGGACATTTTATCTCGTTGCCTTCTCTCGTCTTTGCAGGCTGGCCCAGTCGTTCCCACAGCCCCTGGAGACCAAGCCATTGCTGAGCCAGCGGGAAGCGGCTCCGGCCGGGAACGTTCCGGCGCGCCCGGAGCGGCGCCCGCTGAGCGACGCCTTCGCCGACAGCTGGAACGACGGCTCCCACTACGACAACACGGGGTTCGTGGCCGAGGAGAGCGCGGCGGAGAACGCCAGCACCAACCCCCTGCTGAGCACCAAATCCAGGAGCTCCTCCGCGCACGGGCGCCGGCCGCTCATCCGGCAGGACAGGATCGTGGGGATCCCCCTGGAGCTGGAGCAGCCCGCGCTCAGAAACACACACGACTCCGAAGTGCCTCCTCCCAACCCTTGGCAAAATTGGACCAGAACCCCCAGTCCTTTTGAAGACAGGACAGCTTTTCCTTCCAAACTGGAAAGCACCCCCAACACCAGCCCTTTGCCCGAGCGGAAAGATCACGTCAAGGAGTCTCCCGAAATGACGAGCACTTTCACTCCAGGAATTCCGTGGGAATATCACGACTCCAACGCCAACAGGAGCCTCACAAACGTCTTTTCCCACGTGCACTGTCGCCCGGACCCTTCCAAAAACGTCATCTCCATCAGCAAGAGCACGGAGCGGCTCTCCCCCATGATGAGGGATTTAAAAACGAACAAGTTTAAGAAGTCGCAGAGCATCGACGAGATCGACATCGGTGCGTACAAGGTGTACAACATCCCCCTGGAAAACTATGCATCCGGGAACGACACCGTGGGCCCCCACGAGAGGGTGGACAAGCTGCTGGGCCCGGAGCACGGCGTGCTCAGCATGTCCCGCAGCCAGTCCGTGCCCATGCTGGACGACGAGCTGCTGACCTACGGCAGCGTCAAGGTGCAGCCGCAGCACAAGGCGTCGGTCACCAAGAAAGTTTATCAGTTCGACCAAAGCTTCAACCCCCAGGGCGCCGTGGAGCTGCCGGCCGACAAGCGGCTGCTGCCGCCCTTCCAGCTCAACGCCGAGTACCTGCCCCAGCCGGCCAAGAGCCTGCCCCAGGAGCTGGTGAGCCCACGGGGCTACCGCGGCTACGGGCCCGTGGAGCCCATGTTCTCCTTCTCGCAGCCCTCGGTGGGCGAGGAGCCGGCGGCCGCCCCGTTCCCCGGCCCGGCCTCGCGGCCCGGCTTCCTGCGCAGGGCGGATTCTCTGGTCAGCTCGGCCGAGATGTCCGTGTTCCGCAGGGTGGGCGAGCCCCAGGAGCTGCCCCCGGCCGACAGGTACGGCCGGGCCCCGTTCCGCGGCGCCCCGGAGCGCCAGGGCAGCATGGCCGTGCCCGAGGCCCAGTTCCTCAAGCGCAACGGGCGCTACGAAGACGAGCACCCTTCCTACCAGGAAGTGAAAGCCCAGACCGGGAGCTTCCCAGTTAAAAACCTCACGCAAAGGAGGCCCCTGTCGGCACGAAGCTACAGCACAGAGAGCTACGGCACGGCCCAAACGCGGCCGGTCTCAGCGAGGCCCACCATGGCAGCTCTGCTGGAAAAGATTCCGTCAGACTATAACTTGGGTAACTATGGCGACAAGCCTTCCGATAGCAGTGATATAAAGCCGAGGCCTCCCCCTGGGAAGGGAAATGAGAGCTGTGCTAAAATGCCCGCTGACTGGAGACAACAGCTACTTAGACATATAGAAGCTAGAAGGTTAGACAGGGTATGTTTGGCATTTCTCTGCAATTAATGCCTTTAGTTGTGTGTTTCGCTCTGTCAAACGATTTGCACGTGCAGTGGTGACCACCAGAATTCCCAGGGGTGAAATTCCCGCCGTGGTGTCACAGAGGGACCGGCCCCGCCGAGGGCCCTGGGGCTGCTCGGCTGGAGCGAGGGATCCCAGAAAATCCAGAGGCTCCTCACTGATGATGCCCCTTGGGACGGTCACCGGGGTGGTGGCCCCGGGTCCTGGGTAAATCCAGAGGCTTCCCACTGGTGACATTCCTTGGGGCAGTCACTGGGGTGGTGATTGTGAAACCTGGGTAAACCCAGAGGCTCTGCCCTGACACTGGGGTGGTGGCTCCTGCAGCTCTGCCCTAAATTAGGAAGGACCCTGAGGTTCTCCCCTGCTCACGGAAGCGCTGCTGGAGCCTCCAGGTCAGTAACGACCAAGAGCTTGGAGAGGTGCTGGTCTTGACAGTAAAAGGGAATAAAGGAAAAAGAGAACAAGTAATAAAATGTATTTTAGCTCTGGTGTCACTGTTAGCGCAGGGGGTTTGAAAGTGTCTATAACTGAGAAATATCCCTGGGTATCCACTGCCACTGCTGTAATGGGAATGTGGTCATTACTCCTTTTAGCTGTAGGAAGTTATGCTGATCTGCCTTCTATCCAAAGGGTACTTTAGTGCATGATTCAGTCATTACCTATTTAATGACCTAATCCATGAATCCGATTTACTCCGTGATCTGAAGTGGTTGTGACAAATTCCTGTGGTGAAATGCCTAAGAAGTCATTGCCAAACGTGTCCATATACTGCTTTATGCTGGAGCCTCCCGACTTTGGTGTCAATATTCTCCTTACCATCCAGCCGCTCGGATGTGATGACATTAAATTATCCTTAAGGGTCAAATGGGGAAACTTTAAAAAGGGGGCTCCGAGGCTGAAGCATTTTCCTCCCTCAGCTCTTCTCCTGGTGCTGTGTAAACCCACTGGAAACTGCCTCCTCCCCAGGGAAGCCAGTGCCACCTTCCTGGTGGCAGCAAACCCTTGCCAGACGTCGTTGCTTTAAGGAATATCTTTACTCTTGGTTTACAACGTGCACTGAAGGGTGCTTTAACCCCGGGCAGCTGACGCTGGTGGCTGTCCCTAATCCCTGCGAGGTGTTTCCTGCTGGCTGCAGAGCTCCAAGGAGCTGGGCTGGGCTGTCTGCTGGAGGAGGCTGCGCTGGTGGCAGCAGCCCCTGTCCCTCGGGTGGGCACAGGACCCGTGTCCCGCGTGGGCAGCCGGGTTTTCAGGGAGCAGGGCTTGCCCAGGGGCTGCTCCTCCATGCCAGGCACTCCTCCGGCAGCACTGCCCACCCCAAACCCGCCAAAATTTTGGCAAAGGCGAGACTGGTACCACGTGAACTCCAGATGCCACGTCCCCCCATGTGCTGTCAGCGTGGAAGTCCTCTCTGGTGCCCATTTTCTGTACGAGGAGCAATGTACTCGCTTTGTGTGACCAGTGCATGCCTGGAGGAGCTATTGATACTCGGTTACTGTTTGTTGGCTTAAACTAAAACTCTGTGAACTTAACCATGTATGTGTGAGACTTAATTCTGAGCATGTGTGTTCATATGTGTCCCGTGGTTGTTTCCTCTACTCAGAGCGCTGCTTACAAACACCACACAGTTAGCCTTGGCATGCTGCACTCTGGAGGGGTTTCAGCCATGCATGCCGGCCGAAGCATGACTTTAAACTTGCAGCCTAAATCTAAATTTGAAAACCAAATGCTTCAAGAGCTACCTCTACCGAAAGTAAGTATGGGCTAGCCAGCATTGCCGGCATTCCCGGTTAATTTAACGATCCTTGCTTCCTCCTGGTTTAGCTTCTGCCTTTTTTCCTCGCGCTTGTGCCGTGCCCAGTCCACAAGGCAAGGCTGGCAGGGACGCGGCTCTGCCCCGTGCTGGCCTTGCTTTCTGGATCCCGGAGCTCCCTGGCTGTCATTGCTGCTTCCCTGCTCTCCTCACACACGCCAGGGCTGCCATCTGCTCAGTGGGGATCGTGGTTTGCTCTTGGGACTGTTTGATCCTAGGAAAAAAAAAAAAAAGGGTGTGGAAATGTTAAACAGGCTCCAGGAGACAGGGATTTTAGTATTTGAGCATTAATCGGGTGTGCTGTAATTCCTGATGGGTTTTGAGCATGTCACCACACCCAAACCCATTTTAAACTTTGAGAAAAACCTAAAAAAAAAAAGAGAATATTCCCCTCATTTATTTACTGTTTATCTTATATTTATTATCAATATATTGTTGAACTAGCACAGACATACACAACTATGTATTCCCATTTTAAACTTAGAGAAACACCTAAAAAAAAAGAGAATATTCCCCTCATTTATTTAGTATTTGTCTTATATTTATTAGCAATATATTGTTGAACCAGCACAGACATACACAACTATGTATTCCCATTTTAAACTTTGAGAAACATCTAAAAAAAAAAAGATAATATTCCCCTCATTTATTTACTACTTGTCTTATATTTATTATCAATATATTGTTGGCTAGCACAGACATACAAATGTATTCCCAGTGAATATTTGAAGGGAGAGGCACCCAGGGCAAGGCAGAGAGGGCCATTCCTGCAGGATTCTCAGTGCCAGGGAGGGATGCTGAGACCTTTCCCTGCATCCCCAGGGATGGGCAGGGCTCAGCCCCTCCCTGCCCTGGCACAGGAGCTGAGAGGACAAATCAGCTCTGTGAGTAATTCCAGGGATCATCCGTGCTGGGCATTGCCAGGCTGGCCCCTGGCACGGCTGGAGCAGCCTGGCCACAAATTCCCCAAAGGAAAGTTCCAAAGGTTCTGAAGCTCCAAGGATTTGAGGAGAGCAGGATGATTTAAGAGCAGGAGCTGGCTCCTCCTGCCCACCCCACACGTGCAGCAGCAGGAATTCCAGGAATCCAGGGGCAGGATGGCAGCACCCAGGGAGCAGTGCCAGCCCTTCCCCACCGTCCCTCCACCCTCTGTCACCTCCATGCCATGTCCCCGTCCCCCCCCCCAGGCTCTGTCCTGCTCTCGGTCTGTGCTGCTCTGTTGTGGGGTGGGGGGCTCCCAGGGGATCCCCCCTGGATGTGTGTGCTGGGCAGGGACACCCCAGTGTTGTCTTTGCTTCCCAAGAATTCGTTTTTTTTGTCTGCTCGGGTACTTGTCACCAGTCCCTGGAAAAATCCATTGGGCATCAACCCCGAAGGATGGTGCTGGTGGTTCCCTCGTTAGGAATGAGGAGTTTTATGGCACTTCCAGGATTTTAGGCTGATGGGGAATATGGATATTAACGGTGGATGTCTGAGGAAATTCAGGAATCTGCTCTGTGATATATTTTGGGGTGTGTTCTGATGTGGGTTATTCTGCTTTTCTATTTCACCAGCATTCCATTGCTCCATATCCATAGAAACTGTGATGCTGAACTGCACCGGGGGGGGGTTGTTCTCTTGCTGTACTGTTTGGGGAAATTATCGTTGGGAAAGATTGCTGCAGGGGGAAATGACTGCTGGAAAAATACTGTGTATATTTAGTGTTGTTTAATTTTATTGCTTCACGCCCTTCCACAGAATTTGCATTTCCTAAAGAATCCAGGCCACAGCAGTTCAATCCTTGCCTCTCCTCTTCCCTCCTTCCCGTGGCCTGGATTCAAGAGAGTAATGAGTGAGCTCTGGCTGTCAGGAAATCGACTTGAACAATGAATTATTTTGAAAATGCTCATTTCATCCATCTACTCCCTGTAGAAAAACGTGGGAATTGCTGTTTTTCCTCTTTTCCCCAGATCTCATGGAAGTGCAGCTGGGTTGCAGCCTGTCCAATAATTCCTTCTGCTGCAGCAAATGCAACCCCAGCATTCCCCTGTTTCTGGAGGAAGCTGGGAGCACTCTCTGCATTTTCCCTTTTCCCTCTGGAGTGCAAAATTCCCTCTGCAGATCCCCCAGCGCTCTCCAGAGGGATCCTTTCCACTTCTGGCTCCCAGTGAAAAGTTTTTAAAAGTTTGTGGTTTGGTGCAAGCCAAATTTCCAGAAAGGGAATTCCCACTTTTCCTTGGGAAGAACAGAGAGAGGGGAGCAGAGATTCCCTTTGGAATGAGCTGGGGAAGGCACCCAGAGGGTTCCATAAATCGATCCTTTAGGATGGGAGCAGATTCCCAGGACAGCTCTGGAGAGATCAGCTCATTTTTCCATTTGAGAGGAGATAAAGAAATCTCTGCAAGGAGATCCTGGGCTTTAAACAGGAGAAATGTTTTTCTAGTGGTTTTTAATAGAAGGAAAATCACAAATTCCGTGATTTTCCTGGAAAAATTTTTGAATGATGAAAGAATTATAATGGAAGTTTCCTTTCATTTTAAATGATCAGGGTTGGACTTTTTTTACTTCACCTCAGAGATGTGATTTAAATCATAATTTCCTTCTATTTACTTTTCAATTTCTGTTAAAAAATAGTTTTTAATGGAAAAATTCCCAGCTTTCACATTTCAAAGCAAATTTCATTAATTCTTCATCCATCTAGAGAAGTGTATTCAGATTTTTTTTTAGAGGAAGCTGGAGAAGAAATTCCTGGAATGGCAGAGGGGAAGAATAGATCTTTTTTGTTCCTTTGCAGATTCCCATTAATCAATAATCCACTGTGCCAGGTGCTGTCAGTGGCAGGACAATGCTGGAATTTTGGGAAGTCTGACACCCCAAAAGGGGTTTGGAAAACTCCCAGTGATGATCAAGAAATGGAGAGACAGATGATGGAAACTGGGGATGAGGCAGGAAGAGTCCTGAAAACAGGAGGGGGAGAGTGACAGGGGAAATAAAAACACGGAACAGGAGCAAAAAAGGGAATTGTGAACATCGAGGGAACTTTCCCCGTGTGTTGTGACAATTCACCTTGAGGCAAACATTGAATTCCAGGTTAATGGTGTACAAAAAAAATGTCCCAGGAGGTTCTGGGAGCCAGCACAACCTCGGCACTGCCAGCAGGGAATGTTTGCTGCAGAAAACACAAACAGCTCCCTCTTCTTGGTGGAAATCCTTCCTAAAAAAGTTCCTGCTGCTGGAATGAGCAATGAGAAATCCCCAACCCCACAATTAACGCCAGGCTGCTTAAATATCACAATTTTCCCAAAATCCGTTTCTCTGAACCTAACGAGTCCCTCTCAGCGAATTTTCTCTCCTCTCTCACCATTCATTATTCTCATGATTTCTACCCCCGAACCCTCCGGAGCTCTCCTGCTTGCAGGGAGCCCCACGGTGCAGGTGGAGCAGGCAGGGCGCGGTGGCGGCAGCGCTGCATTGCAGCCGTGCGTTGCAGCCGTGCATTGCAGCCGTGCATTGCAGCCGTGCATTGCAGCCGTGCGTTGCAGCCGTGCGTTGCAGCCGTGCGTTGCAGCGGGTGCATCGCGGTCGCTGCGTTGTTGTGACGTGAGCTTGCAAAGGTTTGTGCTGGTGACTTAAAGGCTGCCCTGCCTTTGTGAACAGACCCCGTCGCAGCAGAGCAGCCTCCTGGACAACGGGCAGGACGAGGTGGCCGTGGGCAGCCCCTGGACCCCGTACCCGCTGGGCCGGCGGGACGTGCCCCCCGACACCGTCACCAAGAAGGTAAGGGGGTGCCAGGCTGTGCTGGTTTGGAGGAAAGGCAGGAGCTTCTCTTGGAATGGAGAATGTCAAGCCCCTCCTTCTAAATTATGGTAATTTTGAAATGAAGGGGGTCTCAGGGAATGG